GTTATCATTTTAGATTATCAGGTTACATTACACATTATCATTGACAAAACTTTTAGTGAAAGAAAAACTCACACATGCATATGACTAACAATCAAAATATCAAACTTCTAATTTATAGAGACATATCCTGCTCTACGACTCTTTTTCTTCATACAAACTACACTCACTCCAATGACTAGCAATATAATGAGTATTAATAATGCAGCACCGGCTGTAATTCCAAAGATGATACTCGGTAACGTCATCAAATAGGATCGATTAGTAAACTTTAGGTGAATGTGAGTGATCTTGCTACTGATGTCGTATTTGGTTGATGCAGCAGCTAATAAAGTAAGATTCTCACTACTTGGATGTTTAGCATTGCTAGTTGTGAGTGTACAATTCCTTTCTGTGTCAATCACACAGGACGGATAGTCAGAAGTATATTGATCAACGTCAGTAACTAGCTCGGTTGTGTTAACATTGTATGAAAACTGGATGCTAGCTTCTGGCGATAGCAGTATAATGAAATAATATCCATCAGCTGGAGAAGTAAAAAGATAATTTTGTGACATGCGCTTTCCATTTTTTCCTTCGACCGGTATTTCCTTTGTAAATACAGGTGATTTCACTTCACTATACCTGATATAGTCGTTCAAGTTGTCTATATCATCAAATATGTATAATGTAGCTGATTTTTTATTTCTGCCATTACCAATCCAAATGTCGAAATTTACTTTCGATTTAGCATTAAGATATACGTATATGTTATTAATGATTGGGAAATCAGCAACATAAGCAGTTGCATTCCAAGATTCTGAATTATAGATCTTGTCATATTGCAGTTTAGCTGTTGGGACCAGAACCAACGTCACACTATGTTTGCTATCACCTTTTTCGACTTTTTCAGATATTTGAATCGTGTCAACGTACTTCTTATCTAATGTGTACGTTGAAACAGAATCACCTTCACCAACTATTCTATCAGCTTCTTTTTCCTTATAAAGAGCAGTGCGTGAGGTATCAATCATAAACAACATCGGGAGTATACTTAAGGCCAACAAAACCATTAGTAGTATTATTAGTAATAAGCAGACAACAATACAGCATTTTGACTTAAGTAACGTAGCTTTACTTTTATGATGTGGTAGTAGGAGCTCGTATTCTTTACTGCTTTCTTTCTTTATTGATCTTTTTATCACTGGATCGTTCAATAACTCTTGAATTAAATCAAGCCTGTTTATATTTGAAAGCTCTTTTGTTAGCCGTTCCAAAAAGTCTTTGTCATTCCTCGCTCTCGACTTCCAATCATTTAAATACTCCTCTTCTTTGTCCCAGTACTTTTTAACTGATAGATTGCTGTTCACTTTAGCTAAGCCCCGAGCATTGGTAATGTGGCCGTTATCAGTCATGTTAAAGACGAGCCGGCCCCGAGAAGAACAGGAAACTGAGGAAGTTGCTGTGGAATGCGTGGGCATTAAATTCACCAATTTATAGCTAGCCCCACCCTATACAGTAGGTGTGTCGAGACATTGTGATCGGTGATGGCATCTCCATTAGGCAGCCAGTTGGCCAGCTTTGCAGCCTACAAGAAGGTAAGGGAATGAAGGACATTGCATGCATCTTTTTTATTTTGCTGAGTAGAATATTAACTTGTAGATAGATCTAGCTTGTCTTTTTTATTGAGAAATCATGGGGTAGGTCTAAAAGTGTGGTGTGATGTAATCAATGATAACATGGAGGTGACACTTGCATATTAGCTGCCTTTAGCATCACATGTACATCACATGCATCTGAGGTCACCACATAATGTGTATAAATATGGCACCTATGGTACATGGACTCGCCTTGCTTTTGCATGATTTAATCAACAAGCCTTGAGATAATTAAATCAAAGTATGTTGCTTTACAGAACCTGTTCTTGTACTTAGCACTGTTTTGCCAATGATAAAGTCTGGTTATAAATAAGATTATTATAATAATCAAATGCCAATTATGTATTTAGTTTTACCGATATTTTTCTGATTAAATGCACCTTGAAACAAAGCAAGAAATTAAGTACCGGTAGCTATTCTTTCTAATTTTATAGAGTCCGGACATTTTAACAACTAGTCATGGTCATCCTGTAGACTGCAAGACAGCAACACTGACAGCAGGTGCTAAAGGGCCAGTACTGTTGCAGGACTATGTGTTCTTGGATGAGATGGCTCACTTTGATAGAGAGAGGATACCAGAGAGGGTAGTCCATGCAAAGGGAGCTGGTAAGCATAACTGATACATAAGGACAATT